ATATCCTTCATCTGCACACCTTTCTCAATACTTTTAGACTAGGAAAATCAAAAACTTGTTAAATAAAAAATTTTTTTGACTTATTACGTAACTATTTTTAATTTTTCTTTTTAAAAAATTATTTAAACACGGCAATTTTTTTGTTATTAATACTGTTTACTAAATAAACAAAGGAGAAAATCGTTATATATGAATAATTTGTAATACTATTTAAAAAACTAATAAATAACTTACAATAATGACAATTTACCTATTTGAAAGTGTTCATTCAATTTCAAAAGATATGACGAGGCGAATGTTAAATTTTGTTCATTCATAATCAAGATTTTTTAAATTAATATTTCTAGTACCACTGAAATGAGTATGCTGTAAAAGGTCATTTCGTTCGTAAAATTATTCATTTGAACAATACCTATCTGGTATCGCTCTCGCAAAAGTACTTTTTTTTAAGAAAATGTATGTCATTAACATTGACGCATGCATGTTTACACGAGATCCTCTCTGTCAGAAAGCAAACGGAGAATGATATACGCATGTGTACTTATGATGGGATTGATAGTATCACTGAAATGAGTATGCTGTAAAAGAACATTTCGTTTGTAAAATTATTCATTTGAACAATACCTATCTGGTATCGCTATCACTAAAGTACTTTTTTTTTTAATAAAATGTATGTCATTAACATTGACGCATGCATGTTTACACGAGATCCTCTCTGTCAGAAAGCAAACGGAGAATGATGTACGCATGTGTACTTATGATGGGATTGATAAAACTTGCGAAATAGAGCGACTAGTTGCGAATAATTCCGACCATATCTCCGCCTTCTTCTTCAGATTCCCCTTACCCTGCGTACCCCTGAGAAACTTTCGTTGTGCTACTGAATACCCTTAAATCTATAAAATCTCCTACGAAAAATATGACACGTTACTATGCTATATTCAAAGTAATAACAATTCTGACGTGGCATCCTAATAAAAACAATAAATAGAAGAAAAAAGTATGGATATGTAATAAAAGCTCACTTTTGTTGATAGCTCGAAATCAAAAGACTACAGCAAGTTTTTAAACATGCCATTCAATCCATATAATGACGACATTCAACATCCTCCAGGAATGTAAAACTCAGCAAACATTTTCAGCTTGGAAAATTGTACGTACTATGTTTTGAGACAAAAATGGGGGGGGGGGGGAGCTTGTGAATTTCTTACATTTTGTCATGATGGTACAAAAACTGACGGTCTAGCTGGATTCTTGTCCATAAATTAGATTATGTCAATAGTTCTGCAAAGTCCGTAAGCTTATGTTACAGCACCGGTTACACCGCTAGACGTTAGAAGTATTTAAGCTCATAATAGAGTATCAATTACGTTGATGCGTGTATGTATGTATGTTAGAACTAGTGGGGTAAAAACTTACCTTATCAATTTGCATTCGTACGGATGTGTCCGACGATTTTGTGCACGAGTAAATAATTATTTCTTTATCTTTCCCTTGAAATTGATCCACAGTTTTAACTTCGATACCTTCAATATCTTTCAAAACTTCGGATAATGTAGCTACTTGTAAGTTGTAAGGTGCTATAATGCCTATATCGCAAGCCGCAAGTCCAGCCTGCTCGCAATATATTTTTTTTTAATCACAATGTTCTATCTTTATTACGGATTAAGTATTACCTTTAAAAGTGCTCTTACAATCACAACTACAATAGAAATTTCGCAAGAATTGACATGATTCATCACTTCGTTGTTTTCAAATACTGGGGTGGACAAGTTTTTATACCATGCAGCATCTTGTTTTAATTTCCAAGTTGGTCCAGTATCTAATACTTGAAAGGATGACGTTATGGAATTGTTTAATGTTTCAATTAGCCAATCCTGACTTTTGTAGTAACTTATGCAGTCCTAAAAAATTAATTTAGAATGAGATGTATACGAACATATGAATAAATGAACAATTAAAAACTAGTACTGCTAGTCAATGTTCCAGAATAAAATAATTCTATTGTAAATAATTAAACATTCGTTTTTCCAATGAAATGAATGATGATTGCATTTCTGCTGTTTAATATAAATTATTCAGGCATTAATTTCACGTTATAAAAACTTCTGAATACATTTATATGACGCTTTATATAAGTTAATGACTACAAACAAATAAAAAAATCGCGTTTCTTTACAAAAACCCACCGTAAAGCTACAGTCATTTGATCAATGCATACTTAATTAAATAAAAGTAACATCGAATAATTTAGTTTTTGATCAGTTTACAACACAAAAATTCTTACTTCAAATTTTGGTAATTGCAAAGTTCCATTGCCTACATCGTCATTTGCAACCTCAAGTTCGCCGTTGTAAGTTAGTATATTTGCAACTTCTGTGAGTCGTTTGTTCATTCGATAATTACACGTAAGTTTAACTAGATTTTCTGGCTGTTGCAGACAATCAAATAGACTTTCGGAAAGACCATTTTCTCTAAAAATGTAACGGGGGTTAATAATAAGGATAATAGTTTTTTGGGTTATTAAAAGAACTATGAGATAATATATTTATGCGAAACTTGGGTTGAGTATAAATATATAGAGCGCATAAAGAGTAATTTAGATAATACTTATAATTGGGCGTTTGCTAATGCTACAAGAGCTGGAAAAAGGCAGAGCTAAAAGAGGTTTGTTGGTGGGAACAAAAAAACATCTCAAACTTGAGATAACGGAAGTTAATAATGAATTAATAATGATAAGAGGTTTGATATGTAAGATAAAGTGGGTAATTTTTTGTATATTTAAATAAATAGAAAAATATATATTATATAGAAAAACAAGTTGAAATTATTAAGAATTATAACATAATGTTAGTTGGAGATTTTAATATAAGAATTGAGAAAGGAGTATGTGCAGTAAGGGAGGATAAATTTCATATAAGAAATTCAAGGGATGAATATGTTGATAGGAAGGGGAGGAATTCATATAATGGGGAACGGGGAACACGGAATTGGCTGGCGATATTAAATGATATTATTGAAGGGGGTAAAAAAGGGGGAATATACTTTTTTATGGAGAGGAAAAACGGTAATAGACTACGGTATGACTGATGGGGACGCTTGGGAAGAAATTGGTAGATTTGAAGGATCAGAGACCTTTTACCAATAGCAATTGAATGGAACAATGAAATGCATGATAGTTCAGAGACATAAGCGAATAAGGTTGTTATTAAATGGATAGTGGGAGGTATTGAAAAATACAGAAAAAATAATGAGAGTGAATGAATGAATGAGATGATAGAATGAGGTGGGAATACAGGAACCAGATTACAAAGAGTAAGGAAGAATGTAATGACAAGTTGGACGAAGAATTTTAGAAAATAGTGAATTTATATAGAAAAAGCAAAGTATAAGTAGAATTAAAGCGGATGAACAGTGGTACATTCATTTTAAAGGAGTGTTAGAAGGAAGAGAGGAGTTGACTGTAAAAGAATACATGATAAAGGGAGGTAGAAGAAGAGGAGAAAAAGATACCATGCATAAAAATGTAAAAGGAATGGAGAGAATAATGTCAAAAATTATAGAGGTATAACGGTCATAGTTATTATATAAATACCAATATAATCAAGAAAAGAGTAGGAGAGATGATTGAAAAAAATGACATTTTGGGTTTAAAAAGGAAATATTTAAATAATAAATGTGAAGAATTTAAAAAATAACTTAATGCTTAAATAAAGCAAACTACAAACTACATCTTCGTAAATGTTTTTCTTAATTTTTGTTGTAGTATTTTTTGAAAAACAAAAGAATTTATAGCCCACCTTGAGCTTAACTTCAAAAGATCACAACCTTCTTTTATTCTTTCAATTACACCTGCGTTATTTTCTTGTAAAATTAATAATTGTTTTAAAAATACTCACAATGCTATTTTACTTTTAATAACAGGCGGTAGTTGATGAGGATCTCCAACAAGTACAAATTTTTCACAAGCATTTAGGGGACGAAAAGCTGAACATTGCAATATTTGAGTACTTTCATCTATAATACAAATATCAAATATTCTTTTAGTGAGAAGTGGATGACTCGATCCAAGGCAAGTCACAGCAACAATGTTCTGTAATATATCCGATTATCATTTTATAAATTTTGTAAATAATACATCACAATATAATTAGTTTTATTACAAAAGATGGCTAGTGGAAGAAGCAAACGTATTGAAGGTAATATGATATGGTGTATCAAAATAATAATTACGATTGTATAAATGAGACCAATAAATAATTTTATCTATAGAAATAAAACTAGAAACTTAAAGGGTACTGGGCTTAAGTTTTGCGTTTCCTACGGCAGTGTCTGAAAGAAACTCACCGCACTGTTGTAAATTTCTTCAAGCTGTTCAACAGTTTTACAATCTTTGGTTAATGAGTTTTCTGAATAAGGGCGAAGTTTTGGATGTATTCTGCTCTCTGAACCTAATCTCAATAATTTCAGTCTTTTTTCTATCAGTCGAACACAAACGTTATCTACAGCAGAATGTGTATGACTTGTAATTAAAACTGTTTTTCCCAATTCTATCATGAGGTGTACTAAAGCTACTATGGTTGCTGTTTTACCTACAAAAAAAAATTAATAGTTAACGATTTCCACTTTAACTAAAGCTGGCTAATAACAAGCATGAAAATGGGAAGGTGAAAAAAAATCAAAAATATATGAGGGTATGCAGAGAAAAGATTCCGTTGGAGTAACGGTTTTGACGCTAAAAGACTAAGTTCGATATAAAGATTTCCGCAGACAATGTTTGACGTAATTACGGCATATGTGCCAGATAGCTATTGCTTATTTATTAATTATTACAGATTTCCTTCTCCTATTCATTGCAGGATGTAGACAGAATATAGGATAATTTTTCGATTAATTCTGCGAAAAATGAGTTAATTTAGATGTGAAAAATTAAAAAACAGTAAGTTCTTGGTAAACAATTTTTCCACATCACCAGATATCGCCATTTTTCGAGCTTGATAGTTTTTATCGGCACGTAATGGATAAATCATCAATCAAAGTTGCTCCACGCAAGGAAGGTGATTAATATCAAATACCATCTGCAACTGTAGTATTTCATATTAAAAAATCGAATACACATCTTCGTAGTCGGTTAGAAGTGCATTTGAATCACTCTCTCAGGTTTGGCAACCGTGAGATTTTTTTCTTCTACTTATAGCTACCATGTTTTTCCTGGGTTATTAAGTGTAAAAGTTCATACTTCTTAATGTATCTCAGATATTCTAGCTTACGTCTTTTGACTGTATTAACAACCTTTTTTTACCTATACGTATTATATAGAAATTTGCCTTAAAAAAAAAGCTAATTATCCAGATTGTGCTCATTTACCGACTATTGTTTTGTAATCGTTTCATATAGAGGTGTAAGGTATGGATAGTAAAATCAAGTGTTAACAGATAGTGAAGCCGTTATGGTTTTCTCTACGCAACATATTCGCGCATCTCATAGCGCTCCCCGCTCCTGAACGCCAATTACACATTTACCCTCTTTCTTTCTGTTTCTAAATATGTGGAAATCATTGTGGGACTTGAAACATCTGTATCTTAAATGTAGTGTATAGAAGGGGACAAAGTATTTGTACACTCAAGAGAATAAGTATATTATAGTGAATATATTTTTATGAATACTTCAGTATATATTTAATTACTGAAGTCTTATATATTAGTGCAATATTTACATTATTATTTTAAAGATAGCTATTAAAATCAATAAGTGATCAGTATTTTATTATTTTTAATGTAATATAATTTATCTAATATATTTTAATAAATCAATCTATAGATTAATTTATTTCCCTTACCTATTGTATATATTTGAAGATAATCGTTTTTTTTTTAGGAGTTAACTCTGGTCAGGCGCCGGAACTGACACGCACAATTTTTTTCTTTGTTTTGTGTTCTTACATTTACATAGTACTGCGTGTAATCATTTATTCAGTGTAAACATTACATGTAGTACTAAATTGTTTATGTTTATCTTAGACATTCGATAATCGGCAATGTTCACATTTGCCGTCACTGTAGCTGCAGTTTTTATTACATTACACTATTCGGAAACACCTACATACATTACTAACAGGACCCGCTTCAGATTGTGAATTATTGTAACGGTCTTAAAAATATTTTTGTGTCTTAATTACGCTGCTGAACTTATCATACGATTTTTTATTGCATCTAGTTTACACCCTCCAAAGCTCCGAACTTATTTCTATTACACCCTGTATATATCTGATCTCTTCAGTAGATATCAACAGCGAGGATCAGTGGCCGATTTCTGTTACATATACGAATGAACATTATTAGGTGATGAACTTACCGGAACCAGGCATTCCCTGAATTAAAAGAAAATTGTCAGCAGAGAGGGCTTTTAGAACAGCTCTTTGTTGAAGTTTGTTTAAGTTGCGAAGAATAGGTGTTCCTTTAATGATTACTTTTTTCGAAAGTTTTGTCTGAAAAGTGGGAGCTTTCTTTTCTACAATAAATTCTCGCAATTTAGTCGCCGTACTGCTATCTTCGAGAATAATAGTTAAACTGGTTTTACTGAAAGATTCTGAGAAGGAAGATTCATAGGTGTCCAAGTGGAAAGTTTTGTGTGGATATATCTTATTTAAATCTCTAAAAAAAAAAAAAAAGAAATAGACGTACAAATTACAAAAATTAAACTAATAGTCACTTTAGTAATCATAGTGGCATGATAGTGTATTAAATAAAATACGTACGTATAATCGAACGCGGTAATGTTTAACAATATTCAAACATTAATGTGGAATTAATTCAATTTCCACCCACTACAAACTACCTTACATTAATGAGGAAAAATTGTTCCCGTTAGCCTTGGCTTTACGCACCACTATCCAGACCACTAAACTACCAATTAATTTCACACCAATGTTTCTATATTATTAAATGTTAACCGCTATTAAAAAGCTTTTTAAAGTGCTTTATATATTAATATCCGGTAATGTTGCCTATTTACACTAAGTATTGATTCATAAATAAACAACACTTTTTGTTAAAAATAACTTATTTGACGACAACTTGCTATTATAATTTCGACTATGATTACCACATTCAAGCAATTTGAAAAGATAAATACACGGGTATTTATATATGTAGGGTAGGCGAATGTACGGGGTTTGCAGCTATAAGGACTGGTTTAGAAATACCGCTCATTTGTTAAATATGCTAAACAATTATGAATAACATACATCGTTTAACAATTGTTTTTCGGAATCATTTTTTATTTAAACTAATGATTTTAAATTTTTCGGTAGAACCACAACTATCCGAACTTAAAAAAGCTGAACTTAACTTGCATAACCCAAAACTTGGTTAATTTCGATTTATTAAATGCTCAGTATATTTCGATTTAAATATCGAGTTATATTAAGACCAATTAGTTCAGATAAATCTACTAAATTTACTAATTTTCAGTCTTTTTGTTAAAACAAAAAAACGACTCTACCAAATGTTTAATAATTCTTCTCAGACCATATTGTCGTTAATACGCTTCGATCGACACTTACGTTGGCGCGATATCAATCACCACGTACGTACGTATACACACATACTTTTTCTCGAAATTATGCTATTTTCACTTTCAAATTTTGAAATGTACTGAAAACTATGATTTTTATGATCAGACCCATTACAATAACTTCCCTGTAGACTCGGAAGTTAATATACAACTTTTATTTTAAATGACATTCAGAATTAAAGAATCAATGTAAGGAACTTCGTTCTGTGCTAGTACCTAAGAGCGTATGAATTACCACTTTTTCTTGGCTCCGCCTACAATGACGCAAGTTCATTATTTCCTAGGATTGGTAATATGTACTGCTATCACAGCATTGTCTTTTCAACATATTATAAAAACGGAATTGATGAAGTCTCTAAGTAATGTGACTCTATAATATAAAAATAATATAACACAGTAGAGAAGTTACAAGAAGTTTATTACACGATAAAAATTATTTTGGTATACAATACCTTCTCCGGGTTGGTAAGTAATTTAAACTTAAACTTAAATTTAAACAAACATTTTGTTTAGTATTTAAGCTGATTAGTGGCTACGTAGTGTAAGTTTAGGTTATTTCTCCATTTGAGGAAGGCATTGTATGCCGAAATAATTTTTGTGGTATAATAAACTTCCTATAACTTCCTTGGGTTTTATTATATTTGTATTATAAAAAACTAAAACAAGTTTTTTAAAGAGAGATAATGGACAATGCAAAAAATTTCAAAATATTAACTTACCTGTCCAAAGAAACAGTAATATCAGTTTTACCAACATAAGAAACAAATCCTGCAGCAACTGCCGGTCTGGAATCGATGCTGACAACGATATAATTACCTTCTCCGATTCCCGATAAATAAAAATTTGTATTTTTTTGTATCTCAACTTTTTCAAAAGTTGTACTGTACAAGTGATCACCATCGTAGTTCATTTCTCTTATCTTCAAATTAATTATACAGCAACCTTTTTTTTCTCTACAATACAGCAGTGCATTAAACAAGCTTTAAATTTCAACTAACAGTTACAAACATCAAACAGTTTTATCGCTATGCATGTAACTATTTTTATAATTATTTTAAAAGAAAAATAAAACACAACCAACCTTTCTATAGGTGGGATAGTATAAATGTCTTTTAAGCTTTTGGTATATTTTGAATTTTCTGCTTCCACATCAAGTAAGTAAGTCCATTTGACGAAATAATCGATGTGAACTGGTTTTAAATGAGCTAACACTGAGGACTGAACTTCTTTTAAGTGTTTATAATTCTGCAAATTTTTATTTTCATGCCTAAAAGAGAAAATAGCACATAAATTATGTTAACTTTTCCAGTTATAAAGTAATATTATTATTAATACCACTTGAATGAAATTCTATAAAAAAATACTAATTTTATTTGCTATTTTTATTACAAATGTTGACCTAAAATTATTTATGCAAATTGATTCTGATGAGAACTGTATGAAGGTACAGAGTAATCTTGGTATAATTTTTTTATTGATATAAACAAAATCGGTTGGAATTAAATGTATAATGAGAACAAATGCTCCATTATATTATTTTCAAGAACGTTTCATGTCTGTATTAATGGCTGCCCATTGGGATATCAGATCTTACGAGAATGAGAATTGATTGCTATTTTCATGACGAACTTTGATAATTTTTGTAATCAATCGTTAAACTTCAATCTTAGAAAATACCACAAATGGCGCGGTAAACGCCATCTGTAGTACGATGTTACATTTTAGGATTGCGTATGCTCCAACAAGGTCCACTTGTGTGGATATCTACTTGCTGAAACGAATCCCGACGTGGCTAACCTCAACGTGATAGGCACGTTAACATAATCGAATAAAATAATTCGAAGTGGTCTGTATTCTGTCGAAACTGCCAGGCGCGGATCGCGATTTTGATCTTTTTGGATCTCATCAGCGCGTCGCAGACAGCTCCGACAGAACACAGAACACAGGCCAACTAACCAACCAACTGAATTATTTTCTTAAACTTCAATCGTTTATCATGAAAATAATAATATGGGTTGTGCAGGGAGTGGGTTTGATCGTGATTATAGTGAAATTTCTAGAAATTTAAATATGTATATCCGAAAAGAAAAGGTTAGCAGCCTTCGAAATGTGGTGTTATAGGCGAATGATGAGGATAACGTGGGTAGAAAAGGTTAGAAATGAAGAGATATTAGAAAGAATAGGAGAACAGAGGACTCTCAGGCATGAAGGTCTAGTCAGAGAAATATTAGAGGCAGAAACAGGAGTTAGGAGTTAATTCATGCATGCATAGGCGAGATAGGTTAGTAGGACACCTTCTCAGGCATAAGGGTCTAGTCAGATACATATTAGAGGCAAAAACGGATGTTAGGAGGGGTAGAGGTAGACCTAGGTTAGATTACTGTTCGCAAATAGTTAAGGATGTGGGTTGTTCTAGTTTTAGGGAATTGCGTAGTTTAGCTCAGGATAGGAAAGAGTGGAGGTACGTGTCCAACCAGTGTTAGGACTGACGACGTTATGATGATGATATAATATATCGGAGTTCTTGGAGTGAAATATTACCAAAAAAACATCAAATTAATTAGAAATTCTTCCATGAAGGATAAATAAATTTGTTTTAAGGAGTGTACAATATGAAAGAATTTGTTTTTTAATTTCTTTTCTAGCTTCGAGAGTTCGATTAGCACTTAGTCGGTTTTAAATATACATACTTTAAATAGGTGCAACATAAAATGTTGTAAGGGCAGTTAGCGCATGCACTGTGATGATTAATGGGCTCAGGAATATTACTTAGTACTTGTTGTGATAGATTTCCTTCTTTTCTTGTCTTCGTTAAATAATAAGCCAATTCATTCCTTAAAGTAATAAGATCCCTTTTTTCGTTGTTTGTAACTGGTATTTCTCGAAGTACTTCTTCTCTAAAAAAAGAAAATAAAAATTCTTATATTTTTTTATTAGGAAATACGGAGATATTTACTTTAAATATAAAAGAAGGCCGGTCGAAACATCATAACCCAATTTGGCCAACATCATTATATACAACATAATCTGCCCTCTGTGCTCTAAGGAAACGGATGCGCGTCCAGTTTTTAACTCGAGGGGCATGATTTTGGATTTACTTTCACATGTAACATCTATTTTACCTTTAAGACCAAGTTGTGGACACCATATGTTTTCTTCTATATCTTTAACATTATCTATTTGTCCATTCCAATTATCTTTCTTTAAAATATATATAAAAGTGTTAAGTTTATAAAGAATGTTAATTTTGTAAAAATGTAATAATCACGTTGAAAATTCATTTCATAATCTTGAACAAATAAAACACGAATTTTAAAAACTAAACACATACAGAATGGTTCAACAACGCGTTCAAGTAAAATAGCTCGGCTATTATTAGAATTGGAAAGAAAAAGTTAAATACAAAGCTATACGGACTGATAGACCAAAAATTATTTCTGGATATATAGGGTGTTATTATACATTTTTATCTCGAACAAAACTTATTTTTTCTTTAATGGAATATTCTTTATATTGCTTCATTTTTGAAATAACCCATTGTTTGGTCACTCATCCCATATATGTAGCCGTTGACGTCTATATTGAATTATTTATGATTTATGGCAGAGAAGAGAGACTAGTATAGAAGTCCAATGCTGGGTTAATAATCCGGACTTCGTTTCGGATAACATGTCGGTAAATCTCGAAGCTTCTGTCATCCGACCGGTAGTTGTCGCTTCGGAAAAATCAACCGTTTATTTTTTTTTCTTTACAAACTTGGCTTACAACAGCAAAGTAAAAAGACTTATGCGTTCTATGATCCCACCACTTCTACTATTTACCCCTGCCATTACTGCGTTCACTCTTTGCTCCGACTCAATACAGCGTTGAGGCGCTCATTTTCATAGCAACGCCATCTCCTGTTTCTATTTAGAATTTCTTACTCACGTTTTAGTCCTGCATTTGAATTGGACTTCTATACTAGTCTCTCTTCTCTGTTTATGGTCATTTTTATGAAAAATTAGAGGTTCATTTGACACAATGTATCTTTTTTAACTACAATCATTTTATTATGGAAACATTGCGAATGTGCTCATTTTTCAAATTACCTCATATTTTTGGTTATTATGAAATGAAAATTTAATATTCATTTTAATTAAATAAATTTCATAAAAAAACGTCAAAAGACAAAACTAAAGTTTTCTTACTGAATTAAAACTATTCGTAACAATTTGGTCCTTACTGTCTTGCTTTTGAATGTAACGGTTTATAAAATTATACACCCGTAAGTTGTACTCCGAAATTTCTTCAACAAAATCTTCTGGCTTCACAGAACTCGAATACAATTGATAAATCTAAAAATTGCTACCACTCATTTTTTACTCATTACAATAAAGTTGGATCAACGTACCATTTCACGAGAATTCATCTTCCTTTGCGCGAGACTTTTAATTTCATTCAATTCAAAAAAATTGTTTCTTAAAGCTGACTGCAGAAGTTCGTGAATGAATGTTCCTAATACCATGAACTTGTTCGGTGGTTCAAAACCACGAAACCATTCTGTTAAGACTGCCCTCCGTTTACAAAAAAGAGCACCTAAAATAGATTTTGCAAGGTATAAAACTGAAATATTTTAAAATTAAATAAGAAGAAATTTCAATTAAATGTATGGTATGAAAGTAAATAAAACAAAAATATTATGTCAGAGAAGAAAAAGTAGGGAAAGAGTAAATATACATAAAGATAGGGGACGAAAAATTAGAAGTCACTGACTGTCAATATCCTTGAAGTCAACTGTAAAGGTATAAAACAGAGGATAGCGCAAGGGTAGAGTCGCCTTTAAAAAAGAACTCACTTTTACGCTCGCGAATTGTTACTTTAGAAATTCCAAAAAGATTGTTGTATCTATATGTCTGGAATACGGCTCTGTACGGGTGCAAAATGTAGACAGCGAAGGAAAACAGAAGACGCTATGGAAATCAATAATAAATAAGCGAGATAAGTTGGTAGGACATCTTCTCAGCCATGAAGAGCTAATTAGAGTCATTTTTTATTACAAGATCTGTTAATTTTAAATTTTATATTAATTTGTATTTGTAAATATAATCAATTATGTTAGCATGAAAGTTTACTTAAAATAGTTGTTTAATGTAGCTACTTAGACTAGACAGCAATTTGAGAGAAACAACGAGTAAAATTAAGGAGAGTGAAATTTTAGTGGGAAAGAAGGTCAACAGCATAAGCAGATGACATTGCGTTGTTCGAGAAGTTCTTTTCAGTCCTTGAAGGTGCTAATTTTGTTACCGAAAAGTATTTCGGTTTGAACATTGGGATTTGGGCTGTTAACAGAGGAGGACTTATTAAAAACACAAAAGTCGAAATATGCTGAAAGGATAAACGAATAACTTTGGGAAGACGAGAAGGAGACTTACAACCGGAGTATTTAAGAGGTAATACAGATGTAAAGAAAGTACTTTCTTCATCATTTTTTTTTGCCGCGCTCCATGTATTGCGCGCGCCCTTTAATTAATGCCAGCTAGATAAAACAACATATAAGATTACTAGCAGATTTTGAGGATTGGAGAATAATACGACAAGAGAAAAATCAGTATACAGAATAACTAAGAAAGAGGTACACATTACATCAGTGAATTAATCAATAGATTTTTGAGTATTAAGAGTGTTAATTAAGTAATACAAAGGAGTGATAATAATAAACTTTAATTGTTGTTTCTTTTGTTTTACAGAGAAACCAAACTGAGTATTATTATTATTATAATAAATTAACACACCTTATAGATACTAAAAGATAGGAGACGAAAAATTAGAAGAAGTGGCTGATTTTAGATACCTAGGAAGTCAGATAAGTGAGGATGGAAGGAGTAGTAGGGATATAAAGCAGAGGATAGCGCAGGGTCGTGTCGCCTTTAATAAAAAGAAGTCACTTCTATGCTCGCGAACGGTTAAATTAGAAATTCGAAAAAGGTTGTTAAAGGTGTATGTTTGGAGCACGGCGTTGTACGGGTGCGAAACATGGACAGTGGGAGCGGCGGAAAAGAAAAGGTTAGAAGCGTTCGAAATGTGGTGTTATAGGCGGATGATGAGGATATCGTGGGTAGAAAAGGTTAGAAATGAAGAGGTATTGGAAAGAATAGGAGAACAGAGGACTCTGTGGAAGTCAATAAAAAATAGGCGAGATAGGTTGGTAGGACACCTTCTTAGGCATGAAGGTCTAGTCAGAGACATATTAGAGGAAGAAACAGGAGTTAGGAGGGGTAGAGGTAGACCTAGATTAGATTACTGTTCGCAAATGGTTAAGGATGTGGGCTGTTCTAGTTTTAGGGAAATGCGAAGTTTAGCTCAGGATAGGAAAGAGTCGAGGTACGTGTCCAACCAGTCTTAGGACTGATGACCTTATGATGATGATGGTAGATACTAAAATTATAGCAATAGAATGGGGAATGAATGTAATGAAAATAAATACTGATTAGAAGAGCAGCAGAAATATAGATGAGAGTTTAAGGCATGTTTTAGGAGAAGAACATGGCATAAAGAGATAAAAGATCACAAAGAAATGATAGTGCTAAAAGAAAAGGGTGCAACGCTGTTAAAAATTCCAAAAAAAGAATAAGGGGACAAGCGGAGGATGGGAGATAGTGTGAACGGAACTTCATGTAAGGGTTTTCTAAAGAAGAGGTTTTAAAAGAAAGGAGGAAGTCTCTTCTAAGTTTTTTGGTATATGTTAGTGTAAATTTGAGAACATTTTTTACTATGTAAAAATGACAACGCAGGGTAAAATATTTGTTAAGATTTTTGTAAAATACAACATGTTTAATAGAATCTTCTACTACTAATTTAGCTATTTAGTTTCGTATATTTTGTAATAATGCTATTTCATTTTTCCGATTGCCTACATTTGTTAAGTAGATTGATTTTAATTTAAGATCATTATAGATTAAAACAAGAAACAAAAAATATTAAAACTTTTTAGAGAGGAATGTAGAGTGACCGACGACACGTCAGTACTGGTAAATAGGCGACATAAAATAAAAAGGAGTAAGTAATGAGTATAATATAAAAATATTACTTAAATCAGTAAAACACGAGAACGTTAAAGTAACTTACCAACTACAGATGTGATCGAAAGTAAGTGGGAAGGTTCATATACAATAAATCCTTGAGTATTATCGATGTACCAACAAGACTTGGAATTATCGTACGAGGCAGAAATGTATAATTCACTACCAATATTTACTTTTAAATTTGTCCTGCAATAAGATCATTTCAATAAAATATTACACTAACCGTAACCTGTCCAAATTTGAAAGGTACTTTTGCTGATGGTGTATAACACTTGAAACCATTCCTACCTAACTTGACCTAAACCCTTGGTGCATAGCCTCAGCCACTTTTATCTTACAAGCTATGAACATGTATCTGGCGGCGCCAAAAATTGTCAGCCATGCGGATCTACTTAAGGGTCCACGACTACCATACCATAGTCAGAGACATATTAGAGGCAGAAACGGAAGTTAGGAGGGGTAGAGGTAGACCTAAATCAGATTACTGTTCAGAAATAGGTAAGGATATGGGTTGTTCTAGTTTTAGGGAAATGCGAAGATTAGTTCTGGATAGGAAAGAGTGGAGGTGCGTGTCCAACCAGTCTTAGAACTGACGCTCTTATGATGATGGATTTAATAATTCTCAACGACAAACGCAAACTCATTATAATTTAGACCGAGCGGCATGGCCTAGAGGTCTAGACCATTGCTTAGCATTCGGGAGGACGCGGGTTCAATTCCGGGTCCGTCTGCCTTGGTCCAAGTTTTTCTGTGGTTTCCTTGGATCACTTAGGCAAATGCTGAGGCAGTAATATTCCACAGATAATCTTTCACTCTCTTCTGTCTTCATTTCGTCCGTCTCATCTTTCTCACCCGAACCACCACGCACCCATTCCCACTATTCCTGAAAGCAGGCTGAAGAGGGCTTTCCGCCCTACCTTCCGGCATAGTCCGGAGGGACTGCCCGCCCACCAGCATTACTGGCTGGTGGGAATGAAACACCCAAAAGTTTAAAGTTTCTTTTCCATACCATAACATTAAAATACTTAATTCAATAGTAAAAAGAAGTTGGTATATTCTGTATAATTAAATGTTTTGAACACTTATTAGCACTTTCACAAGAATTGTCAAATGCAGAACAAACCATAAATGCTCATCTGAACTGTTTTAGCTAAAGTATTTTCATTAGAAGCTGCACCCAATATGTTTTTATATTTATAAAGCAATTTTTGAAAATCATAAATTTCATCTATTAACAATACCTACTACAATTTTGTCTTTTGCTGAAAATGAGTTAGAAATTTGACGTAAATAATGACCAGTAGAAGATAAATCTTAATTGGCAGTATTAGATGGAGTTACATCAAAATTAGAATACGAATATTGTAAATATTTTTTAGATGGTAAACTCAAAAATTCCTTTATAGCATCATATCCACAAGAAGTTGTCTACAATATAAAAAAAACAGTAGCAGATGTATACCGCCTTCTTATTTAAAGAAATTGACTTAGTTAATCTGCAATAATTTCAAGTTGGTTTACATTTTCCAAATTTAGCTCTTTTTCGCTATTTGATAAATCAGTTGCTTTGTTATTATAAACTTTTCTTTACAAAATTTTTAACTGTCTCATTATTATTATCAATAGATCACGTATCCTTATATCCCGATAACAGATTTTCGACTTGTGGCCATCTCTTTAACATCATATCAAGTGCTAAAAGCCATTCCAGATCAGTAAAATTTAGTTAAGAAATCTTTACATAAACTATTACTTTCATACCAGCACTTATTGAAATTTCATTTCATTACATCAAGACAATCATTATTAAATTTAAAATAAACTTTTGAATTTATTACTTTAACAGATCACGCGTCTGAAATTAAAATTTTTATTTTACAGTTATTAACCAAGCCATCAAAATTGCTTATTAAATCTTCATCACCAAATGTATCTATTAAATGTTCGTGTCTTTCCTCGTATACTCTCCTTCTATTTTCAAAATTTTTTCTTATCTAAACTTTATGTTTAGTTAAATAACAGGTAAATTTGGCAAAATGCAAGGTACAGAATTTAATTTCAGTTTTACCCTTCTGAGAATTTCTGTGAAATTATTATTACTTTGAAGATGTCTATCAGTTTCAATAACAACTCTTTCTTCAAAATGTGTAATGCATACAACTGAATGCTTTGTATGTACCAAATTTTTTTAAGGAATTACTTTTAACCATTTTTACTTTAAAATTTCATCATTAGGGAAACAAAAAGTAATAACTAATTTTCCTCCTGCTTTTAAGAACACAACAAGTACGCGGCACTGCTTCTCAAAACTACCAGAAAATGATCATCACATATGAAGAAGTACACTGACACAAAAACAAGTGTCTTATTCACTTAAAGTTTAAACTACCACAAGCCAACAATACAAACTGTTTTTAATAGAAAAAACATCAGATTTTCACACAGTACATGTAAATATGGGTAAATATGCAAAAGCTCGTGGAAGTCCCGAAGTACATGTATCGTTCTCGTAACTCCTAATAGACCCGCTTGCTATGTTGCCAAATGTCCTACTTCACCGCTTGTTAGATAGAGGTGACTGTGACATAACACTTAAATAGTTATATTTTTCAAACAAACTAATTATGCAAAATATTTCTAAGAAACAAATATATATCTGACTTCTTTGGCATAAAATTATTTTCCATTAGGGTTTTATATATTTGTTGTTATCTTTTAACAAGTATTTTAGTATATATTACAGATGCTTATTACTTAATACAAATTTGGTCAACGTGAACAAATCGATAATCACTCTAAATAGTTCAAACCCCAACACCTTAAGTTCTTTTCAGTCCCTGAAGAAGGTAATAAACTTGGCTACTGAAAAGTACTTCGGACGATTGGTGTCGTGTTTCTACAGCACCGCCAAAGCTTCCCAGACTTCTAGGCGGTTTACACTATCGTGAGCCTACTGTACTTTTGACATAGAAAATTAAATTGCTTACCAAAACCCTTTAAGCACACAAATCGCTTTTTCATGGTTTTCTAAAGACTGAACAGTAAGTTTGATATCTTGTAAAATGCAATTCACACTTAGCACTTTGCAGTGTCGATCAGTTAAATTTAACGTATATTTTGCTTCTTCCTGAAAACTGAAATTAATAGTAATGTCACCTAAGCTTATATATTACAGAAAATTCACTATCAACGATTAAAATATTTTATACCTGTTTGAAATTGATTGCTGGATATCATCCACTCCATATTTAGGAGTTACACCAAACTTTCCAGTACTTGTCTTACTAGGAGTAAGAGTAACAAAGTTAGTAACTACTTCCACATTAAATTCATGTAGTTTTTTTGGAGACTTGTTGAATAATTTCGTAGGGGTCTTGTTTTTCGTTGGCGTTCTATATAATTTTATTTTTGGTGGAGTTTTAGTCAGCTTTGGTGGCGTTTTAATTGATTCTGAATGTAAGTTGTTTCCACTTACAGTGTCTTCATGTTTATTATGGTGTACTTTGAATGGCGACCGATTTGGTACCGATAATCTTTTTCCATTTTCTGTTAGACCTGTATCAATAGTCTTCTTTTTAAAAGGATGTTTCACACATCCTTTCAGGTTTTCTTTTTCTAGGTTATTATCATCTACGTCCCAATTATGTCGTCTTTTGTTAGATCCCACAAAATCTGAACAATTACTTGCAGAACAACCAGAAAATTCTACTAATTCTGTAGATTTCTGTTCACTTTGTTCACTGACTTTTTTAAAAAATGTCGTTAGTTTCTGATTTCCTTTGACTGGCTAAAATGGGTAATAATCATAACAAATTTGATTAAATAAATCCTGAGATTAAGTATACCAAATTTTTTGTTAACTTGTTTTTCTTCATTGTAAACTATTTTTAAATCACATTAATTGTTTAATGTATTTTTAAGTTAGTTACGATAGTAACCATATAATACTAATGAATACTAACAAACGGTAAGTAGTCACATGTTAACCACTATTTTCAATTAGTTTCCCGCCACTTCACCGTAGATATGATGGTTGATGATGGCTGTGGTATACAAATGTTACATAGTTTATCATTAGAGACATATAATAGTAACTAATAATAATTGTTAATAAAACCGTACTAGCAAAATACATTTATGTATCATATCTTAACATTTTATACGATTATCAAAGAAAAGATCTTTCGTAATTATGTTAGTTGCGATTTTTATACAATACTGAGCAATAAGCAAGTTATTTAGATTGAATAATTATGATTAGCGACATGATAGGTACGATAGTCACAACCAAATTCTTAAAACGTCAAAAATCTTCGGAAAAAATAAAGATTCGGTTAAATAAATTTTCTCCTAATTTATTTTCGTATCAATCTACGAATAAACTGTGTGAAACTTTCATTTAAATTCGCGTAGTGAAAGGTGCGTTGTAATTTGTAATGATGGCAACTAATATGGATGAAGACCAGGCTTTGAGAGAATGTGAAAACTATGTTCAAACTCATAATATTCAACAAATTTTAAAAGATTGCATAGTTCATTTGTGCATTAACCGTCCCTCTAATCCTATAACATTTTTGAGAGAGTACTTCCAGAAATTAGAGAGGGTGAGTGCTAGAATTAAGGTTAGAATTCAAGTAGGTAGGCATCTGACATTGTTGTCTTTATAATGCTAAATACTCAAACAGCATTAAAAAAGTACGTGAGATTTCAAATTTTATGTGAAATACTTCTTTTTATTTCTTTAAATGTGAAACGGAAAAGTATCATTTCAAGAAAAATAGGACGTTTACTAGATACCTACCTAAATGCTTTATTAACTAATTTTTGGTGTGATAGGAGTTCCATTCTTTGGAAATTATTATTTATTTGATTTTAAGTCAATTGCTAACAAATTATCTCTGAATTACTCTCATTTGGAATGTACGCCTACTCCTGAATACATTGTTGTATGTAAATAAGTGTTTCTCTTTTGGGGGGGCAAAAAAGTTCACATTGAATGTGTTTTGCATAATTAATTTATTATTTCTGAATTGTAGTATTTGCGTTTACAATGGTTCTAAATAAATGTCTTAAGATTTTGAACAATCAAACAGTTGTACAACTTAAAACATCGATTTAGAGATTC